GAGAAACGAAAGAAAAAAAAATGGAAAAAGGATTAAAAAAAAAAAGAAAATGAAAATGAAAGGAAGAGAGTAAGGGAGCAGGTTTTCATGAATCCAGCACCGCTCCCGGCCGAGCAGACCCCAGCAGACCCCGCATTGTCCCGATCCCTGTTTTGGGAGTGAGGCCAGTGCCTAAAACTGTCTCCTGGGCTCGGAGACCCTCTTGGCTCCCCTTGCTCCTCCACCCACGGCCAAGGGCCATTTACCCCCAGACCCTACATTTTCACCCAAACGAGAGCTCCGAACCAACTCTCTTCCCTCCGCCCCAGCCACCCGTATGAAAGACACCGTTAGGATGCAAAATGCAATTATTTGCCCCCCCAATCCGCCCCATTTCTAGATCATCTCTTGGAAGATTATCCCCTGCGAGAGGGACATTTCCCGGTGAAAGGTAGGATCAGATAAGTTTGTTTTAACCAGCATCTTCCCGCCAAAATAAGTTATCTCCTACGGCAGGACTGACAGAAAGCTGTTAAAAATAACATAAAAAATAAATTAATAATAATAACAGTATCAAAATGCCTAGAAAGGACTACTTGTGTTATCCCAGAATAATTCCTCCTATTCATGTTGTACGCCGAACTTTGGAGCACTCGTCATATCTCTCATAGTAGTAGTTTTCACGGCTTGCAAAAGATTTGTACGATGCAACGTGGAGTCTTTTGTTAATTAGAGTTCTTCGTGCAGAACAACAGTCTCCGTTTCAGTTTGCGAACTGTCACTAGCTACCCAGGAAACACCCGAGATCCTTAAATGTAAGGAAGAAAGTCTACTGTGATTTTTTTTTTAACTTGCAAGTTTTGCATGACCTCAGCTTTATGAGGCTTTTGAATAGCTCTAGGGTCAGTCCATGCTAATAATAGGAAGGGGGGAAATAGCAGATATGCATGAGATCCAAAAAATCGGGGTTACACAGGAAAAAAAAAAAAACACTCCTGACAACCTCAGCGCAGAGCTCTTTTCACAGAGAATCAGCGGTGGGACTATTAAGGAAACAAAATCGGATCCAAAGTATTAGATAAACTTTTCCGGGCAAGTTATTAACTTGAAGAGCACAGCCTGTCTCTCAGCCCTCGCCCCTTACAGTATTCACCTCATCTTCCTTAATATAGTATAAAGAAGCAAGGGGGGAAAAAAGAGGTTTTAATTGCTTTGAATTTATAGCGCTTCTGTATGTTAGATTTTTATTATTTTAAGGCATTTTTTTTACAGTGAATACACAGAGTTCTTCCACTCTTTGTGTGCGTATTATCTTACGAATATTCCCCACCGTTTTTATAAGTAAGGAGACAATTTTCCTAGTTTCCGCGGGGCCAGCAAACTGGATACTGCACACAGAACACTTTGAAATAGCTGCTAAACAAACAAACAGAGAATTTAAAAGGCGAGATTTCTTTCTGGAAAACAAACAAACAAAACCCAGTACATTTTCACGTGCAGACTGTGAGTAGTGCAAAAGCTACCTTTGGCAAAGAGAGGTAGGATGTATACTATCAGAAACGAGTATTTTTGTGCCGGAAAATACCGATTCTTGGGATTCGTAGGAGCTTTATGCACTTTGCGTGGTTTTTTTTCTGCTGCTTCCACATTTCAGCGCCCACCTGAAGGCACTTGCCGGCTCTTTACCTTCCCATTGGAAGCGATAACGATTGCTACTTTGCGCCCCTTGTAAAACAAACCAACAAAGAAAGAAACCCAACCACGGTATTTTCAGTGAAAAACGCTTTTTGTTGTTGTTGTTTTCTTTTCTTTTTTCTTTTTTTCTTTTTTTTTTTCCCGCACTCTCTTGCGGCAGGGGCACCGTGGGGGAAAACGGGGCCGCGGAGGGGTGCGGGGAAGGGGAGCGGATAATTGCACCAAAAAGGCGGAGGAAATAATATTAATAATAATAACAACAACGAGATCCAGATTAAAACCGTGCCCATGGGGGAAAACCGCCGTTTTATTAAGAACAGCGTTTTGTTTAAGCCGCTGAAATCCCGTTGTGCGGGTTTCATCCCCTGAGTCTGGAAGACTGGGGAGATGCAGACTTTAGCACTACGGTGCTCTTCCAAGTCTGATTTTTTTGAAGCCAAGACTCATAAGGGTATTTCTATTGAGAACGGTAATTACTCAGGGCTTTTCGGGGCCTTTTTTTTTTTTTTTTTTTTTTTCCCCAGGGGGCCTATATTAATTATCTAATTCTTTTTTCAACATATGTTTTCTCCCCAGTGATACTTGTTATAAGCCAATACACATATATTGGAGATGCATAGTCGTCTTGAAATACATCCATCTTCATGTACCTTGTCTGGTAATATCTGGAGCAGTAGGGCAACCTTTTTAAGTTGAAGCAGGGGACTCTCTCTACCCTAAAAGCAGGGATGAGGGTATTTTGTTGTTCTCCAAGCCATCCCGTAATCCTACTGTGGATGAGTTATCCCTTCCCTGGCTGTGAATTATTCTTAAAATCGTGGCTCTTGTAACAAGTGTGCTTCTATGAATGTGCAAAAGAAAAGCTGAGGAAGGAAAGATAACATGAACTCTCTCTCTCTCTTTTTTTTTTTCCCCAATTTATTTATTTATTTATTTGAGTAACATCTGAGCTATAGCCAGGTGTTACAGCTCCCTCAAATGGAGACACGTGTTAGCAGTTTTCTAGGGAATGTTTCCTGCTTTCCCCTTTTGCTGCTAAGGCATGAGTGAATTCCCAAGGATGCAAAGCATTGCTTAAATGCATTGCCTTCTTTATAAAATACCCCCAGGAGATGTTATTGTTTCCCTTGCTTGTGCTGGATGCAGAGCAGGAGCCACACAAAAATGACATGGATGACCCAGCTCAAAGAGGAGGCAAGATTTGGATTTTCAGAAGAAAGATCCTCTTTCTCAATTCTCCTTCCATCCTCACCCTCACCTTTCCTCAGACACTGGTGCTTCATCGAGAGTTTGGAGCAGCACTGCTGAGAAAGGGAATGGCATCCTCAGGGAAAAGGATGTGAAAACTTACAAGAAAGATACACTGCCCACCTCAATGAGACAGTTTTGGTTGGTTTTCTTCTGCTGAGAGAGTTTGTGGAGAAGTTAATTTAGCAGAATTTCCATAAAAGGATTTTATTTTCCTTACTTTTTCTAGGTTCTTTATTTTATTTTATTTTTTGTTCTTCACTTTAATAAAAATGTATCTCAAAGCGTGTCCAGCTTTGGACCTCCCCGTGGTGATAACTCTTCTGCCATCTCTTTGCAGACATGAGTGAGGAGCGGTTGGGTGATGCCGGTGGAGCGGACAGCGCTGAGACCTACAGCGACAAAGACACAGACCAAAGGAGCTCCCCGGACATGAACAAAGCCAAATCCTGCTTCACCCCCGAGAGCCCAGAGATCGTTTCCGTGGACGAAGTTGGCTACGCGGTGCAGAAAAACGGCGGAAGCGCCGAGAGCCGCTCAGAGAGCCCCAAGTACCACCCGGAGCAGAACCACCTCCTCATAGAAGGTCCGTCCGGGACAGTTTCCTTGCCTTTCAGCTTGAAAGCCAACAGGCCTCCACTTGAGGTGCTGAAGAAGATCTTCCCGACCCAAAAGCCGGCCGTGCTCGAGCTGATCCTCAAGGGCTGTGGTGGTGACCTGGTGAGCGCCGTCGAGGTGCTGCTGTCCAGCCGCTCTTCAGGAGCCAGCGGGGAGAGAAGCGCCGCAGAGCCCGACGGCCTCGTTTTGCCTCCCAACGGGCACCTTTTCGAGCACACGCTGAGCTCCTACCCCATCTCCTCCTCCAAGTGGTCTGCCAGGAACCAGTCCAGCCCCTTCTTGCCCAACGACGTGACCCTGTGGAACACCATGACGCTGCAGCAGCAGTACCAGCTGCGCTCGCAGTACGTCAGCCCCTTCTCCAGCAATTCCACCAGCGTCTTCCGGAGCTCGCCTGTCCTCCCCTCGCGCTCTGCGGAGGACCCCAGGATCTCCATCCCCGATGACGGATGCCCCATCGTGGCTAAGCAACCTATTTACACAGAAGATGAGTACGATGAAAGGTCCGACTCCTCCGACTCAAGAATACTCAACACATCTTCCTAGACTCATATTGGGCATGTGATAACAAAGTGAAACTCACAGTACAGAGGAACTACTGGGCCCTAAGGGGAGGCACGCGTTCTCTACGAAACCCTTGCAATTGTGTTAAAAAGTGACTTTGCTTGGTACTGTACTGTAGCAATAAAAACATAACTTATTTAATTTCTTGCACTTCACTGGATAATGCCAAATAGCAATGCTCTATGATTTTAGTGCTGAGTGTGTATTCCAAAGGAAGACCCTGAAGCTGCCAGTTATGGGACTCTGGAAGATTCATAACGGAAGCAGAAGCTGAAGGTTTCCTTTACCTAAACTCAGAAAAATGGGGATGTTAAAATAGAATACTTGAATGCTGTTTTATTAGAGGGAACTCCTCAGGACATAAGAAATCAAACAAAAGTAGTCCAAATACAAATGGACTAAAACAGGGAACTTATACTGTCTTATACCAATAGTAATCCTCTCATTAAAAGAAAAAGCAAAGGAAGGATGCACATGAAACTAGCATGAACTGCTTCTGTGCTGCTTCAGCTTGGACACTTTTTAGGGAAATAATATTAAGAGTTATTCTTTTCACATGGCTAGGTCGAAACGTGTAATGTCGGTGTAAAACCAATTACAGCTGTGAATTGCATGAAATGTATTGTGAAATGAACACAAGATTAAACATTGTCAGGTTAATGTAGCATGCTAGGGACTCTAGAAAAATAAACTAAGACTGCGATCTTGGTTTATGTCATTTGTACTAGGGCAAAGAACATTTCTGAAGATAGAGGGCTGCTTAATCCTTGTCTGGAGTTAAGATGTCCAGCTCCAGTGACTGCAGTCGAGGGAAGCCTGTTTTTCCTGCTTCAGGGTTCTGCTCCCTTGCTTGCAGCCAGCAACTGAGAGCAGGCACATCTTGCCATCAGGGAGACTCTGCTCTCTTGCATACAGGGACTTTCAAGCTCATTTGGGTAAACTGTAGCTTGTTACAGTCTGAGTAAACAGATTAAAAGGCTGTTGAGATGCTTCAGAAGCAACCTTCTTTTTTTTTTTTTTTTTCATGTGCTGTAGAAGTAGAAAAAGGATATAGCATGTAATAGGAGGCATTTGCTTAAAATAATATTTAGCCAGGTGGCAACTTTCTTGTATCTGGAAAAAAATATGTTTTGGACAAGATACTGCATGTTTGCATGCATTGGTTCTGCTGCTTATCTTATACGTGTCAGAGTAACTTTAGGAATTGTTTCTGGTGAGGAATGCTGCTAAATTAATCATCTGCTTACAGGTTTGCTGAGCATTAAGTGTCTTTTTTTTTTTTTTTCCCCCAACCGTTCATGAATGACTACATTTGCCTTTCCCAAAACTCCTCTGAAGGCAGGTGAGATGACCAACAGGCTTTGCAGGTTGTGGATTAGCCTCAAAATCAGTGAAGACCTCTCTGAAGTTGGACTCGAAAGCAGATGGACCTTAAAACTCTGTGGTATATCAGATATACTAGCCAGTGTCATTGCCAAACGAGTGCTTGTGTTCACTCTTGGCATTTTGCATTTCGTAGTTTTTGCCATTGGTTTTATTTTTCTTGGGGTATAGATTCTCACAGAGATACCTTTTTTTTTTTTTCCTAATTTTCGATTTGCTTAAAAAGACAATTTGTTGGCAAGGCCAGAGTCATAAAAAAAACCGGAAGGGCAGCAAGATAAACAGCTTCCTTTATGGAAATGTAAACATGAAAACTTCTGGAAAATTCAAAGATGTGTGGAATTACTGTTTTGGACTGACGGTTTTGCCTGCATTCACAGGGTTCTTGTGAAAAATGAATCCTCTAGCCACCCCATAGGGAAAAGCAATTGCTGGTTAGGCCTGATTTGCAGAAATTAAGGGATGAAGTAGTGAAATGCTCCAGAATCATGAAGAAATTGAGCATCCACAGCAAGGTGGGGACAGAAATGACCAAGAGCTCTGTTTTTGTATCAAGCATCAAGAAAAAAATTACCAGCATCAGGGACCTTTCACTGCTGGCTGAGTGAAAGAGCCATTAACAGGAAAGCAAGTGCTATACTTCACATACATACTTTTAGTTTATTTGTTTATTTATTGCTAAAGAAGGTGAGTTGTCCCTCGAGGCAAATATTGCAGCTCATAGAGTCCACACAAACTGTAGTCTGCGGATTTTTGGAGAACGCAATTTTGACATCTTATGATAAGGATATACTTTTCAAAGAAAGGTGAGCTTTAGCTAAATTGGAGTAAATGGTTCTTATACTAAATATTTTGTGTGTGTGTGTGTGAAAAATTCAGCAGTATAGGTTTTGGATTTGGTCTGTTCTGATGAATCGTTTTTTTTAAAAAGTTAAACAAGCTAGAACAATAATTACCTGGGGTTTTGATATTTTCTTTTGACTGTTTTTACATTTATCCTCTTTTTTCTTTTTCTTTTTTTGATTTTTTAAAAATAAAATACAACTAAAAATGTTTCAATTAATACTCCAGGTTTTAAGATTGACCAAAGCTATTTGATCACAAGTATCTATGTTGCCTAGAAGGTTCTTTTTTTTTTAAAATAAATAAGCTGTTAAACCTTTTTTTTTTTAAAAAAAAATGTTCATTATTTTTTCAAAAGAAAATAGATTCACATTGACCTGAAACAAGTTCTTTGAAAAAATATCACTATATATTTTCCTAGATTTATTCTCAGGCAGGCACTAGGTAAGAGTGTAATTTTTAACTTGCACCTGTAGCCTTGTAGCAAGAGCCCTGGTTATACCAGGTCATGGGGATGCATACATCACTTTAACATTTCGCAGTATCCACAAGATACCCCGTCTTTAGGGCAAGACCCCATGCAGGCCCTCTGTGGTGACTGGCTACCCCAGTATCTCACAGGTAGGAAAAACCTTTGATTTATCCATTAATTATGGGGATGGGATCCATTGCAGTGCAGGGCATCCTGGAGATGTTTTTCCTCCCATCAAGCAGGTGATTTTCCAGTTAAAATTCCACGTGCAGGTAGAAAACAGAGGGACATATGGCTGCTAACATGTGGGTAGTGCCAACAATTATGTGAATAATAATAATAGTTATAGTTCCCCTCTCAGTGTTATGCCATAGTGATGTCCTGACGGCGATGCTCGTGCCCCTGGGCACTTGAGCCCCTGCAGCGAGACCTCAATGCGCAGGATCCTGGGGTCAGGATTGGGGTGGACGTGGTGCATGGGATTGTCCTGTGCTCTGCTGCAGTGCTCCAGGAGGTGGTTGATCTGCTCCCTGCCAAGAGCCCAGACTTGTTCTCGTTTGGAAGCTGAAGGGGCATCTCCAGAACATCTGTTGGGTGCTCGGCGAACAGCTTCACCTCACATTTGTGCTGACACATTTGAAAAATGGCTTTGATTCTCCCGGTATACTGTTTCAGTGATTCATTCCGTATGTTCATTTACTCAGCGGACGTTGAGTCGGGAAATAAGATTGATGCTAAATTTATATGTTAATTTTAATATTGAAGCTATCCTGTATTTGAAGAATAAGATCAATTCTTCAATTTCATTCCTTACGTGGCACTGCATATTGTCATTACTGGAAAATAAAATTATTTCTGAATGCATACTATTGAAACTTCAATTTTAGTGGGCATAAACTCTGAATCATTATTCTCCCTTCCCTACAACCAACTAACTTCACGCAGTATTTTGGCGTTCTCACACTAGCCTGCCACGGGGAGATGCCCATGTGAATCTTCCCACTGTAACTGATATTTTGCTAATTTGCCCTCTGCAACATTTTGCAGTGTCACAAGTGGGTCTGCTGTGTGGCTCAGCAGCATCCGGCACGTAGCATTCGGAAGGAAACCCAGTGAACTGCTGCATCCTCTTACAAAGAATAATTCCATCATTTTCCACCATAACAGCAGCATTTGAGAGCCCTAGCCACAGCTACGAGCCTGGTGTGCTTGTACACAGAGCAAATCCTGACCTTAGGTGGAGGATTAAACCCATAGAGCAGCACTGGAGGTGGATCCTGCAGGTGAGGTATCCAGAGCAGGAGAATACAGTATCCATGAAGGGAGACGTGCTCCAAGGATGCTGAAGCAGAAGGAAGATGTTCATAGCTCCTCACTGGTACTGGCTCTTGTCAGACTCTCCTGAAACTGAAATAAGCTGCTGTCTTTGCTCTTTGGTGTTTCGGGGAACATGGATTGCTACTTTTTCCATTGCAGGCTCTGCAGGGAACTCATCTGACGAAGGGAGAGCAGGAGCCCTTACTCTGCCCATGGGCCTTGTGAAGAACCATAGCTCAATTTAAACTTCATTTTCACTCTGTAGGAGATAAAAATATCAATTACAGGGACTTCATGGTTATTATCAAAAAAATTATTAATAAGCTTAAATGCTTTGTATATACCAGATAGCATAAATATCGTGGGTATTTTTCATTTGTTTTTTCTTGTTTACTTTGAAAACTGGGAATGGCTTTACATTTCCAATAGCACAACAGTGCCTGTCTGCAACAAGAGAGTTGCTCTCTGTAGAGCTTGGATCTTCTCACTTCAGGTAATATCAAGCCAGCCACTGTCATGCAGAGGGTAAAACCCACAAGCCTGGATGACCTGAGGGGAAATTGCTCATCCCATGGAACTGAAACACCCTTACAGAGACATTTTGGTTTGGAGATGGGCCCCTTTGCCTTGCCTGTATGATGTTGAGAGACCTTCTTGCCTTGGAGAGAGACAGCAAGAAAATTCAAATGATACAAGCAACTACAAAAGAGACAAACTGAAATATAAAGAAATATAGAGATGTTCTACCTCATTACTTGTTAAATCTTTTTTTTTTTTTTTTTGACCACATGTTAGGCCCACGTGAGTGATCTGACAAAGGATGCAGAAGTAGTCCTGGTGGGGAATGATACCTAGGAAATGCTGCAGTAAAAATCTAGGTTTTATTCTTCTGCCCCTCCTTGTTAATTTCTCTGCTTTCACACTAGAAGGAGGTTCCTGATAGCGACTTTTTCCCTAGTAATAAAAC